GGTAAAGAACGAGACAGAGTCCACACCAGACTCTTTAAAATGGCATGCATCTTTACTTCTGAACAATTCAATGTACTGACAGTCATACAGGGAATTGGCAGCACATGCATAAACAAGGTACTCCTCTTATGAAAGACACAATTAGTCTTACCTCCCTATGTGGGAGAAGTCTATATGCTCACCCACAGAGGGGAAGCTCATTTGCAGAGGGCTCCTGGCTATATTGCCTTTAGGTCCAGACCTGCTTGTTCTGCTGACTAGACTCCAGACCCTTTTGCCAACCTCCCAATACCTGCAGTAGCCTGACTGGCAGGGTAAGATTGCCCAGCAACCTTAGGCAGGGTGTCCTGGGAAAGGGCTGCTATACTACATGCTGCCCAGGCTGCAGCCTCTTAGCACTACAAAGTACTGGCAGCTTGTGGGGACTAGGGGAACTACACTGGGGCACGCCCTTACAAAGGTGGAAAGAACCTGGAAAGAAGATAATATGCAGAGCAGGGAGAATGCTGCAACAAAAAGTGAGGTTGGCTAAATTGTGCTGGCTGTGCGGGCATGGCCTAAAGAACCATGGGTAAACTTCGTCTAAGCAGTACACACTGCACACATATGCCACAGTACTTCAACCCATAAAATACTCCTTAACTACTGTACCACAAGTTAGGGATTCACAGACACACATAAACCTAGAGGATCATCTTTAAAAGATAAACAGAATATGGACAAAGAGCTAACACTTCTAGTCTACCTTAAAGAAAAACTTCATTAAGATTAGGGAGGCACCAATACCTGTTTTTCGTTAACGATATTGTTTTTCGGTACTCTCTGATACCGAATACCGAAAGTTCCATTAAGGAATGCAGGCGGCCTCTGGGCTTTCCGACTAGACGTTTCCATGCTTCCTCGTCACCAGGTAACGAGAAAGCATGGAGACGGCTTTCTAGCCAATCCGGAAGCCAGGCGTCGAGTCATTACAGCGCGCGCGGCTTCGTGATGGATCCATGCTCCCTCATTACTTAATGACAAGGGAGCATGGAGTCGGCTTCCTGGCCAATCAGGAACAGGGAGGGGCGGATCATTACTCGCCCCTCGGCTTCCTGATTGGCCGGGAAGCCAGCTCCACGCTCCCTGGTGAGGAGGGAGCATGGAGCTGGCTCCCAGCCAATCAAGAAGCCGGGCAGTGTGTAATGACTCATACCGGAATCGGGATACGCATTGGGAGCATTTGGGAAACTCATCAAACACTCAGTATCGGCACTGATACCGATTCTAGAGGGATCATATTTTGCCCTGAATGGGACATTAAGTATGCCACATTCTTAATTATTTTAAATAAAATGATATCTACCACTGACTGATCATGCTAATGCACTGTGACCTGTACATATACAGTTTTAGAAGGCCTTCTCTAAGACTTGAAAATTATTTTAGGGGGTTCCTTAATGGTACAATGTTTGACAAAGATTGAGTTCGTATTGAACTCGGCAACGCAGTCAAGCACGCAGAGGGACCAATGCTAGACGAGTTCAAAGACAGGATACAGGTGTTCAGGTCTTGAGCTACACTAAGCACAGTCTAGTGCAAACAGGGAGCAGACAACCTCTTCCATAGATGTCAACACAAGTTTCAAAATTAAGGTTATGATTTAATATTTAATATAGAACTAAAATAACTGGAATATCAGAGACCTGATTTGCACAAAGTGATGAGAATAACAATACACAAGTGGACCAAGTACTCTGCCTTCTCTTTTGCATGACTGTTGCTGCCAGGTCCTTTCATCTATTACAATTTAAGTGCCCATGAGAATCATGCAAGTAATGGTGGCCAATTACAACTCTATTATTCTCATCACAATTCTGTCTGCGTGCACAGGGTGACATGGAACGGAATGTGTTGATTCCAGAATATAACTACCTGCTATGTTACTGTAATCAGAGCTAATTGAAAGTGCTTAAAACTGAACTTCAGGAAGATGTAAAAGACACAAATGAATTCAACGTTCTCATTAATACACCCTTAAAGTTATTGAAAGCAATAATCAGTGTAAGCGCCTGACTTTGATTTGGTATCAGTCTCTTACAGTCCCTGTACAGCAGAGCTCGGATTAGGAGTCGGAGAAGCAGCACAGGGAGCCAATAAGATGTGTTGCAGTGCCAGGAACATGCCGGTGGGCAGATAGAGAAGAGTGAGATGGAGTTAAGGGCATCTGTCTGCTGGTTCTCCTTTCACTCTCCAGTCATGGTCTATGGGTGGGACAAGACCTGTAAGTGTTACTGAACTGTAGCAGAGACAAATCAGGTCTCCTTTCCTGCCAGACAGAGCTGTGTCAATTCCAGAACTGGATGTACAGAAATACAAATCGTTTGGCCCGTGAACCAAATTAATCGTTGTATTTACCTGTTTGACCGGAGTTCAGCTTTAAACTGTTCACCGACATTCTAAGTGTATGTGTCATCAAGTTAGATCCCAAGAGATTCCACACTTGCTGGCTTAATTACAGCAGTTAAACAGAACCTGTCAAAAATATTGGAACTGTCATTGCTGACTTTGAAGTTGAACAATCCTGGACTATTATCCTGATCCCTACGCTGCTGCTCAGCCAGCACGGAGATAGAACAAATATGCAGTGTCACATGCAGGGTATATCTCCCTAGGGGGGGACTAAGGCAGCAATAAACCCCTGAGGGCCCATTCATACCAATTGCGGTGCGTTCCAGAGTGGCACCTGCTGGAACGCACAGCAATCGCTCAATAAACATCCCCCTTTGTTCTGGGTCGGGAGGGGGCATGGCGGTACATTGAAATCAATGGCACCACAGCCACACGCCCCCGCCAGCATGGAAAAACATTGCCTGCATTCCGGTCTAATGCAAGCGCAAAAAATAGAGCATGCAGCATTTTTTGTGTTTGCAGTGGACCAGAACGCAGGCAATGTTTTGCCACGCGTTCGATCGCACTGTGGACAAGGGGGCCTGGCTGTGGTGCCATTGATTTCAATGCACCACCACGCCCCCTCCTGCCCCAGAACAAAGGGGGAAATGTATTCATTAATTGCAGTGCGTTCCAGAAGCTGCCGTTCTGGAATGCACCGCAATTGGTGTGAAAGGGCCCTGACAGGTCATCTAACCCCCCTCACTCTTCCAATCAATCAAAAAAAGTTTTGGATTTAGATACACATGCATATACATATGTACTTTAAAGAAGAGCTCCAGGATTTTGAAAAGTTAACCTTTGCAGCGGGGCTACCCCTGCCCCCCCCCCACCC